GTGCCTTTTGCTGAGCTGGGACCTACAGAAGGAGGAACAGGTTGCTGCGGAGCGTGTGGAGGAAGCGATGACTGCAGTTTGGTACATGTTAAGTTTGAGGTGCCTGTCGGACATGCAAGGGGGTGTCCAAGCAAGAGTATGAAGGCTCCATCACCTGTGGGAGACACCCTGGCTAGAGAGAGATAGATGGCTGTCATCACAACAGTGCTTTGTTCTTTCTGCCTGATTGCTTGAAGCTTTAGTAAGGGACTAGAGAAATATTCACAAATGCTTTGCTTTTATTATTTATGTTTGACTTTTTGCAAGAATTTAAATCTACAGTCCTGACTTAATATATTCACACCAAACTACCCATTGAGAGAGAGAGAGATGGATAGATGGGTAACGCCTAAACTAGGCAAAGGAGTTTAAAAGATGAAAAAGTTTCTGACCCCAGGGCACTTATTATCCCATATGGAGCTGTAGAGAGAAGTGGTCGGTTTATGCCCTATCCTCTTTTCCCTAGTTATTAATCCTTTGTATTGTATTTTATTTGGGTCTCAGGCAGTATGTCACCACAGCAGGTGTAGGACTTCCGTTTAAGTCCAGAGTCACCTCTGTGTCTAAGGCGTGACTGAACTCATCCTGAGAGACTGATTAGGGCCTGAGCGGATGAACGGAAATGTGAGTTCAGATAACTCTGGAACATCTGGCTCGAACTGTGGACTGGGGTGTGCCTGGCGTGGAGGGTGCCTGTGGGCTTCGGGGTGCAACTTGCCATGGCCATGCTTCGTCGGTCCTGTGTCAGGCCTTCTCTCCTGTGGGCCCTAACTGTCTCCAAAAGCTGGGATCAGATTAGTTGGTGCTTGATTTCTCTGCTGCCTAATGAACTGCCTCTGTAGTTCTAGCTGTGATGTCATTAGCGTCTCATTGCCTTGGGCACCGACTCGGGAGAGAAATTCTTAAACAGTCCCAGAATCCTACAAAAATTGTACCAATTTACTTCATGACAACTAAGTCACCTCCATGACTTGTCAGTGCCCACCAGCAGAGCAGAGCCTGCATGACAGTGGCCTGGTCACTTGTATCACACTCATGGGCTCCTGAATCTAGGTGGGTCAGTATATATGTGCCTAAGGCCATGGGCATGTCCACAATGAGATTGTGGGCATTAAGGATGCCAATATTCTCATACCATGATATTCTATTGGGGAAATTCATTCACTGTGTGCTGTAGGATACAGATTTAGCCTAAAGCAAATGGCATTTATTTATAGCAAAGTGTATTTGCAAAATGCTTTGCAGTTTTAGGGCTGTTAAACTACATTGCAGGTTGGATGCTCTTTACTTGTAAGAGAGAGAAGTGCTGTGGCTGGACTCCAGAGCCTCCCCTGAGAACAACAGGGTGAATTCTGCAAGCACGGGAGGGAGAAAGTCACACCTGGGTATTTATTATCAGACGACACCTTGGTCAACTATAATTTTTTGTGACCCTAATTGTAACTTATTTCCTATGTCCAGAGACTGTGTATTTATTGAAATAGAATATTTATTTTATTGAGAGATTGCATAGTGTGTGTCTCAAAATACGTGAGCATTTCTGCCCAGGCTCTAGGGGGCAGAAGTGCCAAAGTGCTATAAGAGGAATGTCCGACGGAAGGCCAGAGCTGTTGAACCACGGGAAGTAAGGTGGGGTCTCCTTGCCGCAGCGCCCCCCACACAGACCTCTCTACCACCAACTCCCACACTCACGGGGGATTAAAAGCAAGTGTCCAAGATCAGACTCTCCCGAAGCTTTTAGGCCCTAAACTGCTCTTTCACTTGCCACAGACATGATGGTTATAGGTGCTCTCTTTAGGCTAAGGGAGATTTATCTAGGCTTTCACCACCGGACTCCATCATTTAAAAGAGTATTTCCCAGCTGTATCTTTATCTGCACATAGAAAATGCATTTCCTCTTTGAAAAATCTCTCTCACGCACACATCTCTATTCTTTGTTGGAACCTGAATAGATGGCTTTGGGGAGCTCTCTGCTCATTACTTCTGTGTAAATCCAGCTCCTCTCCAGACAACTGCATTCTGCGAGAAGAGGGGACCAGAGAGGCAGCTGATCCTGGCCTCCAGACTCTTTTTATATGGACCTGCATATTTTCAGGAAGCATAAAATATGAATGAAAACGAGAGTTTGGTGGCCTCCCACCATGTTTTCCCACATCCTGCTTCCCATCCCTCTCTACTCCCCAACCTTGCCAAGTATCTAAGGCTGGAGGACTCCGAGGGGGATTAGCTGCATCTTGACTTTAATTGGCGTAGCCAGAAGACAGCAGCGGGGGGAGCACCCCTCCAGTGTTCACAGCAATTACAAGCCCTGGCGATGGAGAGCGGGGGGGGCAGGGAGGCCGGCACAGCCTCAGCTCCAGACCGTGCTTGCGGCTGCAGTGCCCCCTGGTGGTGGTGCTTGGCGGTCGGAATGGCGCGTCTTAAACAGAGCTGGGGTTACGTGTACGCATTTGTATGCAGGGGTGGAGGAGTTCCTGGGGATCTGGGAATTAAAGGTAAAAGAAAAGGAATTTGGTGGCATTATCACTTCCCCTTTGAAGTAACTTTTACTCCATGTTAAGGATATGGAAGGGGATTTTTATTTTCCCCTGTGAATTTTATTTTCCCGTCATTATCCTGTGCCTCTCACTTTATATTTTTCTCCTTAGGATAAGGGTTATAGAACTGTTTCACTCCCCAAATTCTTATTATCCGATTGAAAAAAAAATGGAACCTCCACAAAATTTTTAAATTAGCCATGTGTTACTCTTCCATAAGTTTATTTCTGTGCTGCCAAAGTGGTCACTCAAAATTCGTGGAGTCTTTTCTCTCACAAAAGTCATTTTAGACTTGATACTACCACCTAGTGGTCATTTTGTGGAAGTTCTTTTTCCAGCCTTGAACATATTCTCAACAAAGGAGGGCTGTGGGTTGGTAAAGAAATGCATCTGATTGTAAGGTGCAGCCAAGAGACCCTCAACGTTCTGGCAAGACTTCAGTGGTAAAATTCCAAAAATGTTATTTTGAACAGAAGTATTGCCTCTTTACTGATTTTTTTTTAACTTCATTCACTTTCCCGATGAATGAAGACCTGTTTGCCTAACAAATCACACCAAGGATCCAAAGACCTCATCCATCCCCACTTTTTCCTGCCCAGTCCATGCAGTGTATTAAAGAGGATTGAAGGCCTGGCCAGGGGCTGGGTGAGGAGAGCCCTGGGCCATATTGTAGCCACTACAAATACTCCCAACCATGTGGTTGACTGAGCTGCATAAGCCTAAATGTCAATAAAGATTGATCTGTGGGTGAAAATGATTTGGGGGTTAGTTGGTGTGGGCTTCTGGGCCTCCTATTTGATGCAATCTTTCTTGTTTTTTGTGTATGCAGTTGTGCAGTTCTCTTACAGTCTAGGAAGGGCTGGAGCTCAACTCTGGGTCCATTATTAAACAAAATGCAAATGTGAAATTAATTATATCCCATATTTATAGTCACCAAGTGAGTCCTTTGCCTTCACACACAAGGGGAGTCCCATGTCAATGGAGCTGCTGGATAAAAATGCCTCATCCACGTAATGAGGATACTCACCTGGGAACAGTGCTAAACTGCCTGTGAAGTTTCCAAATGGTCTCATCTTACACGGCAAACAAAAGGGAGAATAGCAGAGAGCTCCCTGGACCCCGTAAGAGAGAATTCTTTTACAAAGTCGATGAGTCATATCTCACAATCACCTGCTGGAACCACTTTGCAAATCCTTCCAGCCAGTTCTCCAAAAGATCTGATCCATCAAGGATTGCACTCTCGATGAGTCAAGGATTGCACTCTCGATGAGTCAAGGATTGCACTCTCGATGAGTCCAAGAGGACCAGAATGGATGTTCTGTACATGCCCCTTATTTCCAAAAGCCCAGCGATCTCTCTGAAATTGTTTCATGTTCATGACTGCAACTGTGCTGAAAGGAGTCAGGAATCTCTTAAGAAACCCAGTGCTTTTTGTCAGCAGATTCTACTTCCATCTTCCTTTAGAATTAATAAGTTAAATAGAGAATCATGAGAACTGGGAAGAGAAATATCAAGCAGTGCTTTCTTGTATAGGGAGCAAGCTGTTATTCTCTGGCAGGCATTTCCCATGTTTGTCATCAAGAATAGACCAAGAGGTTCTCTAACCACCTTTTACTCATATAGAAAGAGTAATATGAACCCATCTTTCAGGCTTTGGAGTGCAAATATTTATGAAAAAGTCAAAATTCCCTCTCCAGCCCCAATACATTGATCAAAAATGAAGCAGAGATGTCCTATTCTTCCTCCATGACTTAAAGATTTTGGAATCTGACAAAAGTGGATTTTTTCACAATATACTAACTGTGTGACCTTGAGACTCTTGGCCTCACTTTCATCATCTATAAAATGGATATAATGATAGAACTACAGGCAGAGAGTTATTACAATGTTAAAGAAAGTCCCGAATGAATCTCACATTTGTAGTATAGACTCCATAAATCCTAGCTGTAGTTATGGTTAAAACTATTATGACAATGGTTTAACGTGCTAGCCACTGTGTATGTGCTTTGAAAAACATGTGCCATCCATTCATTTCACAGTGATAGAGGAAGGTAGTCTTAATATCTGCACTTCACAGATGACACAGTCACTTGAGTCGTGAGAACTGCTGTTATTGTCTGTATTTTTGATGATGGCCGTCAGCACAGATCCTGCAGAAGCAGCCCTCTAACAGAGTTGTGGAGCTGATGATTCTCAGAAAGGAAACAACCTGGTCTCCCCTTTGGAAGATCCATTTCCAACTCCATGTGTCACTGGGAGTGTGGGTGTCCCAAATTAAGTGGGATGATGAAATCACATTCTGCCTCCCTCGGTGGTATTTTCTGACCTCTCAGAATTGGACCCCAGCACCCACGGGCTATGGGGTTATGCCAGTCTTTGCTGTTTTGCCTCCCTCACTGTTTCTTTTTATTTTGTGTCTGGCAGGCAACTCCCCATCCGACGAGTCAGAGGAGCGAGAAAGAGACCCCAAGGTGCTGACATTCCCGGAATACATCGCCAGCCTGTCAGACTCTGGCGCCAAGCGCATGGCAGCTGGAGTCCGCATGGAATGCCAGAGCAAGGGACGATGCCCCTCGTCCTGCCCCCTGTGTCACGTGACATTAGGCCCTGACACCCCTGCTGAGCCGGTTCTGCTGGAGGTGACCAGAGCAGCCCCCATCTATGAACTGGTGACCAACAACCAGACCCAGAGGGTAAGAGGCCTGGGACTCTAGGCCCCGGGAGGCATCATCTACAACAGAGGGCTTGCTAATGGCCTGAGGAAGTGAAGGGCTGCGTTGCACTCTGTGCTGGAAGATGGATAGTGAGGCTTTGTGTTTAGCTAATCTAGGCACCTAATGTGCTTAGATTTGCATGTTTACATATTAAGTCAAATTAGTGTATCCACAACATCTATGGTAATATGATTCAGGAGTCATGACTGACCACTTGTGTAGGTCTTTGAGCAAAACGGGCTGGAAAGAAGCAGGCAGACAGGGAGTCACAACATTTGCAATGACCAAAGTCATTGTTCAAGGAACACTTATGCCTCGGGGACAGTTTTGGGGAGGAGGCTCAGCTCTGTCTCCCCCTTGTTGGCATGAGAGGTGGGCCAGCTCCCCTACTCGTCCCCCAGCCTGAGACCAGCTGCAGCTAAACAAGGAGGACGATCAGCACAGATCCCAAAGGGGAGGATCTGGCAGCCTCAGCCTGGAGGGGGCTGGTTTCTTGCCCATCCCTCTGGCCCTAAGAACACACCACCACATCCACGTAGATCTTTCTGCCTTTTATTATGCTGCTAGGTCATGACATTCCCCAACCACTCCTCCTCTTTGCCTCTGCCTCTCCCTTTCCAACTATGCCAGGAGAAAATGAATGGACCCAGAAGGATAAGCTGGAGAAGCGTGACTGAGTCAGTGGCTTAGCTCATTTGCCATCTCTCAGGCCTCCTCCAGGACATAAAGATCAGAATGAGTCAAACCACACAACAACGACAAAAATAAAAACAAGGAAATCCGAATGTGGGAATTCTGCAACGATAGGCAAAAGCAGCCTTGGGGACGAGACATAGCAGGAGTTGCAGCAGTGAGCTGCTCACCTGATGGAGAGGTGTGCCCATCCAGGTGGGGTGATAATTGCTTTCTTTTCTTTCTCCTAAGGGACACCTGGTGCATCACAGTGTGTTTGGTTGGTGATTCTCAGACCAACAGGAGGGATTTTGCATGTGTGTGTGTTTCTCTTGCCTTCCCGCCTCTGCTACAGATATTTATTGAGTGTTGGAAAATGAGGTTTTTCACAGGCACAAAAAGATAAGTTGTTCCTGTGGCCCACAAATTCCCCTTCAGTCTGATAAAGGTGGCTATGGGAAGAGGAATGGGCAAACAGACCACCAGAGGGCGAGCTTGAAAGGATGGAGAGAAGGAGGGGCTTGGGTCACCATGAAGACCCAGAGCTGCAATGGCTTTAATCTACTGCCCAACCCTCCTCTCCCCACCCCACTTAGTCTTCTGTTAGCACCCACAGCGGCTGGTGCCCCACGAGCTCCTGTGCCACTTGTCAGAGCGCTCACTGAGAACCATCCTATGGAACAGGGCGCGCAAGGCTGTGGAAGAGAGACTTTGGTGTGAGAGAAGGGCATGCGGTCCATTCTTTCTGCAGGGGAATCTTAAGCAAAACAAGGAAGCTGAAGGCGTTTGTCTTTAGCGACCCACTTTCTGGGTCCCCTACCTGCCAAGCCTCAGCCCCGTCCTTCCTCCCTGCACCAGTCTTAGGAGAGGGGTTGGGAGATGCTTTCCATCTGGCCATATTATGAAGAGTTCAATTACTAACCACATAGACAAGGTGGCCCTCACTGGAGTTCAGTCACCATGACATGTTTCTTCTTTTCTCCTTTCTTCTCTAGGCATATTCTGCCTTTGCCATCTTCTCTGTTCCTCTATTTTCCCTTCTAATTTTGCCCTTTCTCCCAAAGAACGGAGATGAGGCATGAAGAAGCTAAGAAGTCAGCAGTGCTAAGTCTTGACGTTAGTAACTCAGTGTGTGTCCTAATCTCTACTTCTCTGGTTTATCTTTGGACCCATTTTCTAACCTCTCTTGAGTTCACTGTCCCCCTCCTGTTAGACTAGATAATATCAGATGCCACATTTCAGTCTAATCAGTGATTGAAACAAAGAAACAAGTAGGTCAAATCATATAACCAACCAGATGTCTCAAACCCAACAAACTTAACTGACCATCTTCCACCCCAAAGCCATACCTGTTGTGCACCCATCCAAGTGAATGGCACTGTCTTCCACTAAGTTGCCCCAACTGGAGACCAAGGATGCTTCCTAGAACTTCCACATCATTCCCAACATCTATTCCATCTCCAAGAGCCACAAATCCCTCTTGAACCCATCCTCTTTTCATGATACCCCCGTCACAGCCAATTCCAGGCATCCCTTGTAATATCAGCTGTTGTCCCCATTACAGTAGCCTTCTTACTGGTCTCCCTATCAGACCACCCAGAATTATCTGTCTAATATGGCCTTCTGATCATAGTGTATCAAAGTAACTTAATGGCTTCACAGAATCTACTGAATATAATCTAAAATCCTTAGCACATCATTACAAGGCAGTTCATGATCCAATTTTGTTAGGTTGTTACCTTATACTATACCTCATACTCTATACTCCAAAATTTAACTTCTGCTACCTCCTCAAACACAACACATTTTCTCTCATGCATCTGGCTCTTCAGACTTGCACCCCTCTGTCCCTAGAACGTTCTCTCCCACATTTCTGCCACCAGCAAGCTGCTGCTATTACTTCAAGTTTCAGCTCAGACATCACTAGCTGTCAGGATCCCTTTCTTATTCTGCCAGGACAGACCCTGTAATGTTTCACGTAATTCCCCACGTAAGTGCATTTGCACCTTTTAAAGCACGCCTCATCTATTATCCCTGTTGTTTATCCCCTCTAGACTAGGATACGTGTTTTTTCTTCTGTGCCTAGCAGTGGTTGGTGCATGGTTGGTCCTCTGCTAAATAAATGGATGAATGGATGAATAAATGGATAAATGAATGGGTAGATGAATTTGGCTTGAAAGTTCGGCTGCTCTCCTTAGAGAAAATAACAAAAACTGGAAAATTATATTTCTTTTCTGAAATTAAAGTTAAATCTGATAACAAACATGAATTCCCCTTGCAATGCCTGGAACACTGTAGATACTAAGAAAAATGTAATTTCCCTTTCTCTTCTTTTCCAAAGGGTTCCTTCTTAATTCTTCTCTTCTACTCCCACCCAAGCATTTGCACTTTTATCTGTAGCCCAGGATTCAGAGAGCGGTGCGAATCAAAGGTAGAAAGTTAAAGCTTTCGAAGAAATGGCATTTGAAAGGTGTGTCATCATAGGTGTTTGTCCTTAGTCCTTTGGATTGAAAATCTGATCATGTTGCTCCCCTGCGTAGAGCACTTTAATGGCTAACCATGGCTCTCGAGGTGTGGCCCCCACCTTACATTGGCCCACAAGGTCCTCTGCCTCCTAAGGCACTCGCTAAGCATCTCTTTGCCCCCCATGCTGTCTCCCACAGACAGACGAGTCTTCTCTAAATATTTTTTTAATATTAGCATTAATTCCTTATTACAAATCATAATTTTTCTTTATGCCCTTTATTCGACCCATCACTCCCCAAGCCCCCTCCCTCCTTCCCCCCATCCTAGTGTCCTTAGTTTTGTTCTCCCTTCTGAAAGTTCAACATATTCCTTCCTTCCTTCCTCCCTCCCTCCTTTCCTTTCCTTTCCTTTCCTCTCCTCTCCTCTCCTCTCCTCTCCTCTCCTCTCCTCTCCTCTCCTCTCCTCTCCTCTCCTCTCCTCTCCTCTCCTCTCCTCTCCTCTCCTCTCCTCTCCTCTCCTCTCCTCTCCTCTCCTCTCCTCTCCTCTCCTCTCCTCTCCTCTCCTCTCCTCTCCTCTCCTCTCCTCTCCTCTCCTCTCCTCTCCTCTCCTCTCCTCTCCTCTCCTCTCCTCTCCTCTCCTCTCCTCTCCTCTCCTCTCCTCTCCTCTCCTCTCCTCTCCTCTCCTCTCCTCTCCTCTCCTCTCCTCTCCTCTCCTCTCCTCTCCTCTCCTCTCCTCTCCTCTCCTCTCCTCTCCTCTCCTCTCCTCTCCTCTCCTCTCCTCTCCTCTCCTCTCCTCTCCTCTCCTCTCCTCTCCTCTCCTC